CATGTTTAATTATGCTGCATATTTTAACTATGTTACTTTATAACTTTTATTTTATTACATTTGTAGGTAAACTTCCTTCAAATAAAAATCTACTACTAATACAAATGTCTCATAACAGGCCTGGAGGCATCCATTTTAAAATTAAAGCTTTATTTGTTTCTTAGGTTTGTGTGCGTGACACATCACTCATTAAAGAAAACTAGTTTTTCACGAGTTAATGCACGAAACTTTATTTATTGACGTTTCGCAGCTTTTACAGGCTGCTTCGTCGGAATAAATTTTTTATTAAATAAACTTCAATCAAATATATAAAATAAAATCAGTCAATAAATAAATAAATTCGTGCATTAACCCGTGAAAAACTAGTTTTATTTATTAAAGCTTTACCTTAATCGTAAAAAGAAAATGTTCTTCATTTTTGAGGAATCAATTCTTGAAAAAAAATATCAGCAAAACATTTTCAATTTCATCTTTGGAAAACGAAAGGTTTGAAAAACATACCAGTTAATATACATTTTACAAAATGTGCCGCATCATCTTTCCTTTTATTTATTGTTACATCCTCGTCTATTAGTCCAAGTCCAATTGCGCTTATTCCATGCACAATTTATATTAAAAAAAAAATGGGTGCGTGTACTTATGTAGGCGCGTGAGAAGTTATCCTTCTTTGGCATCGTTTAAAATTAGTTTTTAATTACATGCAAATAATTAATTACAATAAATTAAAAAAAAGTCTGGAAAATGACACAGTCAATAAAGTTCAGTTTTAATTTGTAAAAATAAATAAATAATCAAAATATTCAATTAAAATCGCTACTGAATATAATTTATTAGAACATAAATATGTGATTTGCACTTGTATGAAACTCAAACACGTATTCCGAATATACAAACTAGAAACATGTGGATAAATATTATAAATATGAATACCTATAACTGTTACTTTATTACAAAAAATAAAGATGTGGTTTTTGGTTCTACTACACCAATGGTCAAGAGATGGCGCTGTAGTCTCCTGAATCGCGCTTTGGTTCCGTTGTTCCAGATTAATAAATACTTTTGATATTATAAATATGAATACCTATAACTGTTAGTTTATTACAAAAAATAAAGATGTGGTTTTTGGTTCTACTACACCAATGGTCAAGAGATGGCGCTGTAGTCTCCTGAATCGCGCTTTGGTTCCGTTGTTCCAGATTAAAAAATACTTTTGATAGGCCTTCACAATGCAGTCGTTAGCACCCACTAAATAGAGATTCTATTTCTATTTTGTTGGTAGATTTTCTTAATGTGCGGTAAACACAAAAGTAACAGCTAAAGCGACCAACTTCATGCTGTTAAAATTTTGTGTTACAGTGATGCGCGCGCATCTTAAAATTTCACTCTCATCATTTTTTCATAACGCGCCTAAAGAAGTATAACTTCAAAAAACTCAAACAGTTAAACCAGCCGATCTTCAGCCAAACATTATGGACGCCCTCCGCTCCGAATCGCAAACATCCCTCACCATAAATAATCACCATTCAATCGGTGACCGATATTTTTCCTTAATTGCTCCGTCCCAAATGACCACTCAAATACGGGACTCGAACCCGTGACCGTCCCTTAATTAATTTAACCGGGAACATTGACAAACGGGCCTGCTGAAATAAATCTACTACAAATATAATTAGAAGTGGGAGTCCGATGAAATTGATACTCTCGAATGTTCTGTGGATACAACCGCCTCTTAACAGGAACCTATTTATAAAGGTGTGGGTTTATTAAATGAATAGGTATTCACAAGCTAGGGTATTGCATGGCAGTAAATTAAAGACGACATACATTTTACTTTTATACCTACCTAATTTATTCTTGTAATTCCAAGAAATATCTGCATCGGTACGAGAGTAACAGAGAAACATTATATTGAACACGAAAGAGCAAGTAATAAAAATATTTGTATTAACTATGATCCAATTATGAAGGTATAATCAATCTCAGACGGCCAAAAGCTTTCAACGTATACAGTCAAGGTCATGACGTGATATTATTTATGGATAATATCAAAGATATTGCTTTACAAAAGTGCGCTAAACTCTTCAAATTTAATTTACCTACAGATTGTGTAGATTTTGATTGTGGAGATCTTCATTATGTTACTATTTTTAGTAGTGCTGCTATAATCTATATATATAAAACTCAAAGGTTACTGACTGACATAGTGATCTATCACCGCACAGCCCAAACCACAGGATGGATCGGGCTGAAATTTGGCATGCAGGTAGATGTTATGACGTAGGCATCCGCTAAGAAAGGATTTTGATCAATTCTACCCCCAAAGGGATAAAATAGGGAATGAAAGTTTGTATGAAACTTTGTCATTTTTAAACCGATCGGGCTGAGACTTTGCATGCAGGTATAAGAAGAATCATAGATGAATGTCATTGTGTATAATACAAGCCTGAGAACAAAAACTGTAGTCTACACTTCAGCTCTACACCGAAGCGAAGCGAGGGCGGGCCGCTAATTCATTATAATAATGATTGACTGTTAGTTACTTTTCTTAATCTTAGCTGTAAAACTGTCATCTGATATTGTTATCCCAAAGTTTCTTGCTTATATTTTGTCTCAAATCAGTACAAGGATCGAAGTTTTATTTGTCTTTACATTGAGACCTTTATCTGAATCATCATTCGTTATCTTCGGGGTGAAATATTTTATTGATATTGTTTCTTGTATGATTCAATCCAACTCATCAAAATACTGAAAACAAATTCTTTGGTTCATTAACGTTATTCAGTTTCATAATTAGCGAATCGCCGCCCTGGCAGCAGGACTGATTTATAAAAATAAAATATTGTAACACGTTTAAAATATTTGCGAGCCCGTTCTAACAATGACTTTAATTAAATGTAATTTCCATACAAACTAACGTGGAAACACACTTCTATAACCTGCTGTTGTTTCGATAATTTTATATATGATAGGTTTTCTTTAATAAATCACTTAAAATTATTAACTGTTAGAACAAATACTTTAACAGATGGGCACGAAACATATAATGTGATTCAAATAAGAATAGGAAAGCCAATGACCTCCATCTGTCAAATGTCGTTTAAAAAGTACGATTTGCAAAAAAATCTCGGAACACTTTTATAGCACTCTGCTGATTCTAGAATAAAAACCAAACATTTTTAAACAAACAATAACAAATGTTGATAATTAATATTAGTTGCTTTTTTTTCATTTATTGAGCTTTGGCTATGCATGGTTGATAACCTAAATCGTCAACCAAATGTCACTTTATGATGAGTTCAAAAACTCGATTTAAAACTTTCATTTACATATAGGATACATGTTCGTATGTGACCTGCATGATTATTCATAACTTCTCCGGCGGTAATGCAGAGATGAGCGAAATTGAAGAACTAGATTCTGATTAATGTTTTTCTTCACACAATCTTTAATAAGAAATAATAATCTGATGTTTTGTTTCACTTAATCTTAGTAAATAAGTTTTATTAAATAGCAACATTTTTTTTGCTCACTCTACCTATTTGGTTTGAATTAACAGCAATGACGTCAAAATATGGCGCCCAGTCAGTCCTATTTTTAGTTGAATCGCATTATAAACGATCGCATTTTTCACGAAACACATTTCGCCTGCAGTTTTTTATTTTACTTTTTGACCCAAACAACAAATTTATATGCACCTGGTGCGTTTGCGACCTGGTAGCAACCGTATTGCTTCATGGTTTCAAAACACTTGGACAGCTTCTCTTCAACGGGAATGATTCCATCAAGTGATGAGATTGAAGATACAAACGAGATATCTGCCACCGTCAAATGATCAGCGGCGATTAATTTCGTCCGCTCAAGGTATTGCTCCAAAACACAGTATTCAGTCCTTCAAGTCATTAACTAGTTCTGCACTTGGAACAGGTATCTTGTATTTAAGCAATTAATCGAGCATAACATGAATTTTGGGAATGACAATTGAGGTTTCCATTTATACTAATTACAGGTGAACAATTGAATTTTCTTATCCCCGCCAAATAAGTTAAATTTTAATGGAAAACCATGCAAGCTTGAAGTTACCATATTCTAAGAAGAGGATTGTATGAACCGGATTCTTCTCCATGAATTCTGGCTTGAGATTTTCTCCTGTTATTGAGAACACTTCAAATGTCTCCACTATTAAGCCAAGCAGCTTTATAATCATCATAGCTGCCCTGGTAGGAGGACTGCCGGCAGTTTTCTGTAGAACAATCGACATCTCAGTCACTGAGATTCACATCTGACAGCAAACTGAATAGGTTATGTAATACTATTTGCTTATTGACTATGTGATAAAATTACCTGACGTGACATCTTATCAATACAAATATCAACTCCAATGTTATTCGCATAATCCGGTAATATAATTTTTATCTTCATTATGCTGCAATAAAGCATAACTTCAGGTCCCATTTAACTCTAGTATGATTCATAAGTTGTATGTATATACTCGTAATCAATTTGTTGCTATAAAAAACAAAATGAATCTATTACAGTTACTTCATTTCATAATCAGCAACGAGATAAATATTTCTTATTTATCAATTCAATATAACTAATATTGAAATTTAAATAGCTTAATGACTTCATGAACATTATATTCTACTTAGAAGATAACCTAAAATGTTGATCTTTGAACAAGTACTGACAGACATATGAAGTAACCACAAACTCTTAAATTTTCTCAGTTTTACTTAAAGCTCATATTTTGTTGGAAATAAAATATAGTTTCAGGTCAGTTGAATTAATAAATCAGAGTTTGCTTTAAATCCGGTAGTTAAGGGTAAAAACAAGTCACTCACTATAGTTATTTCGATTTATTATCAGCAACGAGATAAGTGTTTTTATCATCATTTACATTACAAAGTTTAATAGCTTAATGATTTCATAAATAGTACATTTTATTTTTAAAGAAATTTAAAATATTGCCATTTGTACAAGAACATTATTTTCTATGGACGCAATACACCAATTTTTATAAACAGAATCACCTTACAGTGCGTCACTTTTCTGCTTCACGAAGTCGGAAAATGTTTTGGCACCTGATGCATTAGCGGTCTGGTACCAGTCGTATTGCTTCATTGTTTCTAGCCACTCCGACAGCTTTGGGAACTTATCAACGGGCAATATTCCTTCGAGAGATGAAATGGAAGATACCAACGAAATATCTGCCACCGTCAAATGATCAGCAGCGATGAATTTAGTTTGCTCTAGGTATTTATCCAGAATACCGTACACTTCATTTGTCGCCTCAACTTGTGCTTCAGTTGGAACCTTCTTCTTTTCTCTGAACAATGTTGCTATTATCTCACGAATCTTGGGAAAGACAAGCGTAGCTTCCATATACATTCGCTGATCAACTGTGGCCCTCTTTTCCAGATCGCAAGGATACAATTGAGCTTTCTTCTCCGCTCCGTATTTCGACACTAAATAAGTTAAAATAGCATGGCTGTCCGCAAGCTTGAAATCACCATCTTCTAAGAAAGGAATAGTATGGACTGGGTTCTTCTGTACAAATTCTGGCTTCAGATGGTCTCCTGTTAGGGGCATTACTTCAGATTTCTCCACTTTTAATCCAAGGAGCTCAATAATCATTAAGGCTGCCCGAGCAGGAGGACTTCCGTCCGTTTTGTATATTGTGATCGGCATTTTTAACGGACGCTAGCGTGAAACTGAATCGGACATACAAAACACCTCGCTTATTAACCTATAGATAAAATTACCTGGTTTGATGGATACCCTATCTATAGTGATAGATAAAGCGAATGAAATATGATAAAATTTTGTATGATCATTATTTTCGTACGTTTTATATTATTAGGATCGATATAATATTAGTTGCTAGGTTGCTACCTTAAAGTTTAATGCTATTTGCAAGTCATAATAAATACAAGAGTCTATCGCTATCTTTGTTAAAACGACTTTTGTAACGTTGATGATTCAGATAACCAAATATTTTTGTTCAGAGGTGTTTACAATTTTTTCTGTAGGGAAAACAGCCAGTCATGGGACAGTCTGAGATTAAAATTATAGAATATTATATTTTTTTAAGCATTTAACTGCTAGATATATAAATCTAAAGAAAATTTTATAAGAAAAAAATCTAGGCGGTCCAGTACCCTTAGTACGAGTTTGAGCTCACGAAACCTATCATAGTTTTCGTAATTGTAAAACTCGTACTAAGGGTACAGGTAGCAGACGAGACTCGAATCCAGGCGAATGCACTGACCATTATGCTACCGTGATCCTGACGGCCGTGTTGAATTTTCTCTAGCCTTTCTTAGGCTGCAAATCAGCGCCATATCTTCGCATTGTAGGTAACCCACAATAACAGGATATTAATTTGAATTGCTAGACAGACATACCCTATCTATACTGATTTGGAATCCTTTACGTGGTTCGTGTCTGTCCGTAAGTCTGTACGAAGTTATCCGATATTTTTTGTTTAATCTTCTGATCTAAGCTTAGAAACTAGTAATTTGTGTTCGCTAAATCCGAATGTGAGTAATCCGTTCAGATTTGGGAACATGGTCACCTAAAAAATTGATTTGGAATCCTTAACGTGGTTTGTGTCTGTCTGTAAGTCTGTACGGAGTTATCCGATTTTTTTTTAATCTTCTGATCCAAGCTTAGAAACTAGTAATTTGTGTTCGCTAAATCCGAATGTGGGTAATCCGTTTAGATTTGGGAACATGGTCACCTAAAAAATTGATTTGGAATCCTTAACGTGGTTTGTGTCTGTCTGTAAGTCTGTACGGAGTTATCCGATATTTTTTGTTTAATCTTCTAATCTAAGCTTAGAAACTAGTAATTTGTGTTCGCTAAATCCGAATGTGGGTAATCCGTTCAGATTTGGGAACATGGTCACCTAAAAATTGATTAGGAATCCTTAACGTGGTTTGTGTCTGTCTGTAAGTCTGTACGGAGTTATCCGATTTTTTTTTAATCTTCTGATCCAAGCTTAGAAATTAGTAATTTGTGTTCGCTAAATCCGAATGTGGGTAATCCGTTCAGATTTGGGAACATGGTCACCTAAAATATCGAATTTTTTCAAATTTTTTTTGTTACTTGTTAAAATGTTATAAACTATAAACACCCTGGATTCGCAAGACAGACGCTTATTATTGGTTTTTAATTATATTGATGAAATAACGTTACATGACAATTTCTTGGTTTATATTCGAAGCAAGGGAAGAGCGTCTTTTGGTACCTTATGATTCAAAGGTGACTGATATGTGTATGGACAAACAACAATCTTGTATTTTTTACTATCAAAAATTATACAAAAAAAAAGTCTGCATGAAAATTTTTTTGGAAAGTAATTATAAACCACTAGAAAATAAAAAATCTAGACTGTACTTTTGTTTTGAATCTCAGCACCGTAATTATAAACCACCAAAAAATCTAGACTGTACTTTTGTTTGAATCTCAGCACCTCAATTTTTGATCAATATATATTATACCCGCACGCAGCTCGGTAGAGAACACTTATTTAAAATATTTTATGGGAAACATGACATTTCACACTCGCAAACTATTCGAATTCGATATTGGTACGTGCTAAGGGTAATGTAATTTACAGAGTTGTCTCTTATTTGTGTTCATTCCAACTCCAGTCCTTGTCCTACATCATCATCATCAGCCTATTAATGTCCCCACTGCTGGGGCACAGGCCTTCCCTATGGATGGAATAGGGAGATTGGGCCATGACCCACCACGCAGGCCCAGTGCGGATTGCTAACGACTGCAGATGCAGCCGGAACCAACGGCTTAACGTGCCTTCCGAAGCACGGAGGAGCTCGAGATAGTAATAATAATAAATAATAAATATAATAAACGTTTATTTCTTTTAAATTGTTATACATTTAGTTTTCACATTAGTAGTGTTGTAATATTAACAATAGGTATAAGGTTGAAGCGTTGATATCTGCACTAGTTTTAAAAACTGTATTGCAGACACCGGCGCCTGCCGACTCGTTATCAATACAATCTCGTGTGAATAATTTGATCTATATCTATAATGAAAACGTTTTAAAAAGAAAAAGAAAAAAGAAAAAAGAAAATGATAATAAACTTTTTTTTTCCTCTTTCTTCTTCTCTTTTCTTCCCTCCTCTTCCCTTTTTTTTTTCCTTATATAAATAGTCTACAGATTAATACAAGCTAGCTACATCTTGAACGGTAAATACGTATCTAATAACAAAATACTAACCATCAATGAATATAATATGAATATGTGTGTGTGTTTGTGTGTATGTAATTGTGTGTGTTTGTGTGTTTGTGTGTATGTATTTGTGTGTGTGTGTGTGTGTGTCTGTGTATTGTTGATGTAGCGGTAAGTTAATTTTTCCGAATATTTATGTTTTAATTACAGTCAACTAATAAGGCATTTTAGAATGTATTAGATTATCTACTTATCAAGATATTAATCCTCTTTGATTAGGCTTTCATTGCAGATAATAAGTCTTCCGTGTCGTTGTAACTTAGTGTACGTAGCCAAGATGTTAAAACCTGTTTACATTTAGATACGTTAAGTGGATAAATATTCAAAATCTTATTTATATTATTATATAACCGGCTACTTAATACTTGGTTATTTTTTTCGGCTAAAGTAGTCCGGCATGTTACAGTTGGACATATTTTCCATCCTCTTCTACCTTTACCTAACATGTTTATTTGATAAGGTGTCTGGGAGTGCTTGCGAATCACAGTGTTAAAAATAAATAATTTACGAACTGTAAGTACTTCAAATTCATTATACAGGAGTGTTGTTGAATATTTTATGTTTTTCTTTAATATTACCTTTAACACTGCTCTTTGTGCACGTTCCAACTTCAGTAATGTTGTTTTGTATATCCCCCCCCATACAACACAACAATAAGACAATACGGATTGGGCCAGAGAGAAATAAACCAATTTTAGAATTTTATTATTAGCTGAGGATCTCAGTTTTTTAAAAACAAATAAGAGCTTTCTTACTTTAGCAGCAAGACCCAGTACATGGGTTTTCCAATTGAGGTTACAGTCAACTATAACGCCAAGGTACCTAACTGTAGTTGTCCTCTCCAACTCCAGGCAATTGCAGTAAGGTTGATGATGACCTTGACAAATGTGTGCTTTTAGTCTAAAATCAGATGGTTGAGATCCTCTAGTGGCTGTGAAAGTAATAAATTTAGTTTTTTCAACATTAAGACTTAATAAGTTATGAGATAACCAATTCATGACCATTCTAAGAGCACATTCAGCGTGATATTGAACTTCTGTCCAGGATTTTCCCGTAACCAACAGAGCTGTGTCGTCTGCATATGTGTAAATATTGCAGTTCTTAATAGACAGTTTACACAGAGAGTTGACGTAAACCAGGAAGAGAGTAGGTCCTAACACGCTCCCCTGCGGGACACCAAATGACAGTCGCTCATCTTTACTAGTGTACTTGCCGATTTGGACTCTCTGAATACGTTCCGTTAGAAAGTCCTGAAAGATCTCAAGCACCTGACCCCGAACTCCTATTTTTTCTAGTTTAGATAAAAGAGTTGGAACTGAAACAGTATCAAATGCTTTTTTTTTTTTTTTTAATATTCCAGTTACTTTCTGTTTTCTATCTATACTTTGAATCGCTAGGTTACTTAAGGCCAAAACCGCATCTTCTGTTGATTTCCCTTTCTGAAATCCAAATTGATTGTCAGCGATAATGTTGTGCTTAGTGAGAAAACTAACCAGCCTAGTATTCAAAATCTTTTCAAAAATTTTTGAAAGTGTAGGTAACACTGATATCGGCCTATAATTTGAGATACTGTCTCTGTCACCACCCTTGTATATAGGATGTATTAGAGCTATTTTGAACGAGTTAGGGAAAACACCACTATCTAGACATAAATTGCAAAGATGGGTCAGTGGAGGAACAATAGCTTCCGCGGCTTCTTTTAATACTCTTGCTGGGATTCCGTCCCATCCCACTGCACAATTATCACGAAGTCCCATAATTACCGAAAGGAGTTCGGTTTCATCTGTTTTAGTTAGTACCATAGAATCACTTACTTGAAATGAGTCTGTGTCAGAACTACCACAAGGAGTAATAATTTTACTAGCAAGTTCACTACCAATATTTGCATAGAACGCATTAACTTTGTTCAATGAAGTCACTGAGTCTGATGCCATCTTTAATAATTCCGTTGATTTAGACCGATCAGTTTTTAAATACCCTATATTCTAAATAATATTCCACATTCGCCTTGGATCACGTCTGGCCTCATGAAACTCTGTTTCCTCGTATTTCTTTTTTATTTTCTTTAGTAAATTTACACAAAAATTTCTGTACCTGTTATATGTTATTTTAAGAATCATGTTGTTTGGATTTTGTTTTGTTTCTAAATGGAGTTTGTCTCGATTTCGTATACATCTCAGGAGGCCAGGCGTCATCCAAGGCTTTAGCGTAACGTTCTTTTTTGACAAGTTTTTCTCTTTTGTATTATTTTGGACGGCAGTGGATATTTTAGAGATTAAGTTGTTTGCTGCACTATTTGCATCATTTGTTAAGTAAATTGATGAGTAATCGGCATTTATTAGTTCTTGTTTTACGGCAGAATAGTCTGTTTGGTATAATGTAGTCTGAGGTTTGCTTTTATCCTTAGACAAAACAAAATTAACCATCAATGGCAAATGATCAGTGATCAAT